CGCAGATGCCAACCTGGACTTCGCAGACAGTCCCAACTTGTGAGTCAGCTTACCGACCGACCGAGCTAACTGCTGTTGGTAAATGACGACGGGAAATTAATACTCTTAAATAACAGAACCGCGGGCATCGAGAACCACAAAAAATGACACCAAGCGGGTTCGAACCCCTAACCCTGGGTCCGCTGTCAGACAGCTTAACAACTATGCTGTTTCAGTAGGTGCTTTTCTCCTTGTGTTTAAAACGTTATCCTTATTTCCACAGTGGGAGAGTTACTTTGTGTTTCATAGCTGCACAAAAGATGCATCAGCGTCGTGCTATACACATGAATGCTGTTACGTAACTCTTTTCTGCAATCATTCTTATGTACCGAGCAGTTGACTATTCAGAGTTTGCCATGGAGAGTCAGTTTTTTTAAATTACCGTCGACAAAACAAGGCCCATTCGAATGAGTGTCATTAAACAACTTTAGTTAAGTGGTTATAAATTTGGGTAAAGCGTTCTGCCGCCTTACTAAAAACACCATATTGATACAAAGAAAAGAAAAAGGCAAATTTATACTCGAATCATACGCTTACGAAACTACTGACCGGAAAAAGCTGACAATTTCAAATGTTCCGCACTGCGAATTTGTCGACCATCTCCCACAATACACTATGAGGAAAATGAACTCTCCGTGGCAAACTCTTGGTGGCACATGAAACGCCCGAATTGCCCGGCCGTGGACATTCGAAAAGGGAGGGGGGGGGGGGCTGGACACCACATTATACTGGAACGCTCTTTATCAATTATGTATACACGCACTTTCATTTAAAAAAAAGGGGGGGGGGGTTAGGGAGTATTTACCCCCCATATTTTGTAAAGACTGCCTTTTTTTCCATTCAAATGCCCTTTTTTTTCAACGGGCTTACCCCCCCCCCCAATAATTTGTAAAGAGTGCCTTTTTTTTTTACGAAGTGCCCTTTTTTTTTAACAAGTGCCCTTTTCAAAAAAGAATTGGGGACTTTTTTTTGTGGCATCTGCCGTTTTGGGTGCCTTTTTCAGCATTTCGCACACGTATTGTCCTGGAAAGCACCATTTATTGGCCCTTTGTGTGCATAATTGTCGGTTTTGAACAGCGCCCCATCGACAAATGATTTTACGGAGACCAAGTGTCAGGAGAAATAAACCTGTCTACATTTTACAACGGATGTGCAAGTGCCCTTTTGAAAAAAAATTACCCCCCCCCACAATAAAAATGACCGTGCTACGCCCCTGCATCTCGAGGGGGCACATTTGTGACCTAATGTGGCAAAATGAGGAATGTCCCCCAAAACCATGTTATGAATATTCAACGCCTGAAGTTGAATAGGCCTACACTAGGAAAATCATGTAATAAGAACCGAAAAATGTCCCCGTCTAAAAAAAAACCACATAATAAAAATATGTGGCTATCGATTAAGCCTTTTGGGAGTGGAGGTACAAGGACGGATTCAGAACACACTTTTGTTGGGGGGGGGCTGTACAAATCAAGCCAGGCCAAACTGGTATAGGTCCTAGCTCTAACAGCCTGTTGGCACCAATTCTTGAAGGCGTCATTCGCTTCTCAAAGTGGGGGGTGGTACATGCATGTGTATCTTGATCAGTACTAATTGTGCGAGTGCGAAGCCTAAATGGCGCGGGTTCGGGGCCCGTTTAAGGGCCCCTGAAAAAAAGTGGATTCTAGGCACCCTGTAGTGCGATCTGAGGCAATTTCTGACGACTGCTAAAGTTTTAGCACAAGATCATTTTTTAAACATCTTTTTCGAGTTTGGAGTCATTAAATCAGCTGTTCTGAGCTTTAGAATCATAATGTAGGCTACATAATTTTTAATCAGGGACGAATATTGTTGGGGAACGGAATCAGTCCCCCCGTTCCCCACCGATCGACGCCCATGGTTGGCACCGTGCTTCAGAACGACATACTTTACACGTACATTAATACGTACGTAGGGCCAATGCATACATGCTGTACAGCGTCAGTTGGTGAAATCGAAAATTCTGAGAGAGACCCTAAAACTTTTACAAAACTTTTCTCTGCGCGTGTTAGGTGTGTGGGTAGGCCTATGTGTTTTATGGCACACTGCGGTATTTTCGTAGGCCCTCCCCCAAGTTTTCGTAAGCCCCCACATTTTTCGTAGGCCCTAGGCACAGTGCCTGGATTGGGTAATCCAGGCCTGTCCACCATATTGGGCCAGGTAGGACAATACAACTCGGCTTAGAACCATGAGATATTCCTCTTTTGTGTTTGGCTTTTATTGGTTAATCCGTGAAAGCAGTCATTACTTTTGGATTGACCTCCAATAATCCGTGTTGGCAACCTAGAGTGGATGTGTTCTAGGCAATTGTGGCTGCATTGCGTAGACTTTAGGCTGCACTGCAACCAATGCCGGACAACATATAAAATAATACAGAAATGAATCACATTGACAAAAGTAAGAAAGACTGCTCTGTTTGCAACATAGTTTGTGAACTACTGACACAAAAATCCTTTCTAAAAAGGGATACTGAGTGCCACTGAGACATTTGTTGTTTCTGGTACAAATTTAAATATCTGACAGAATCGATTCATACATTCATACATCTGTGACCCATGGGAGATCAGTTCTGATAAAAGGACTGAATGGGCCACCCAGTATAAAGAAGGAATCAATCAATAAATAAATAAATAAATGCATTTAGCATACAACCAAATTTCATAGAAATAGCAGAAAAAAAAATCTTTCGACATTTTCAACAGATAGTCGCAGATTTATTTATATATAATTTGTAATGATTTCCACAATGTTCAAGAAATTAAATATTTAAAACATCTAAAAGAAGATATATTGTCAAACATGTATTAGGTGGAAATAGGCGGAATTCGTTCAATACAGTTCAGGAAATTGTAATCAATTCGAAGTCCTGACGTATACAGGTCGATCATAAACCACGGTGATGTCAAATTCCGTTAAGCACGTTAATCTGTATTAATGAGAAGAACAAGAGAATATAATCTGATTCAAACAATTAAACAAGGAACAGTTCTGATAAAGAGATAAAAAGAACTATATATTTCAATTGCTGAACAATTCGATGAACGTAATGCTTTTTGTGTGTGTGTTATATCGGTCAAACAGTGCATGTAAATGATTTATTCATCTATAGCATACTGGGTTTCGTGTTTTTGATAAAGGGTACACTCCGAGTGACACAGTGCTATGGGATTAACATATCGTAGGCATTGGGGTTATTTGCAGTATGGAGTCCAAACTTTTGTAAGCCGATACCTAAATTACATGTTCTCGTTAATTATTAATCTTATCATTCTTATTAGTTTCTCCTTAAGCGTAGAATATCTTTACACGCTGTTACATGTATACTGTTATCAGTTACTTTGATTCCTGAACATGATACATTATAAGGAAGCGATATTGAAAGCCATACTTGTTAATTTTGAAATAATAACTAGTAATTCCAAGTGAAACTTCTGCATTTGTTACAGGTTACTACATCAGATTAACATTGTTCGTTGTTCAGCCTTATGAAAACAATATTCATATCTATATACGCATTAAAATCAACATATATGATTATGCATAAATGTACAGCCAATCGCTTAACTTGGTTTTGAAACTGAAAGATAATGAGAATATGTTAAGCCTGAGGCACTCATGCATATTCATACCACAGTATAAATGTTTACAATACCAAACGGTCCACAAAGAGCAAACTCAAAAGATGTCAACATTGATATACATAGCTGTTGATAGTTTTGAACATTACAATTGCAATTTTTAAAATAAGACATATTTATTCAAACAATATAATTAGTACCTAATTTCAGTTCCATAATGATTATTGCACTTATGATGTTAACTATTGTGCTTAAAAAAATCAGCCCCGTCCTTAATAAAAATGCATCACCACGTTACCTCTAGTTTAGCCCCCCCCCCCCCCCTCCCCCAAAAAAACTCGGTCTGTGGTCAGACCAAAGTTCCGGAATTGATTTTTTTTTTCTTACTTCTTTTTTTCAAGCTTGGATTGTACAGACAAGGTGGGGTACTATTTTTGCATTTTTTGGTGTCCTCATGTACATTAGTGTCCTCCATAATTTGCCTCGGTTCCCTCGATCATTTGCCTCGGTGCAATTCCCCATTCCTTAATGCTCCTTGGTACAATAGTTTGAGGAGGTGCGGCAATAGAGGCTTCTGTTGGAGCTACCGTGGAAAATTTTAGGGAAAAAAGGATTGACGCGCATGATTAAAATCGACGCGCGCGCTGACCCGAGACCGACTTTCTTTTTTTTGCCTTACTTTGAAAAACAAAGGATTGTTTTACCAGGACATAAATATGGAATGTAAGCGTAACCACAACCACTTAACAAAATACAATCACACTTCGTCACCGTTTTCACGAAGAGCCACATATGTCAAAAATTACCCTATTTTCGATTTTGATTTTTTTTCAATATTTCGCATTAAAACAATGTACTTAACCATTTTGACATGTTTATGTAAGCAAAACATCATTAATTTCTAAGTTACATTAATGTTGCAAGGAGCAGAAATCTCGATAAATGCATTTTGCGTTTTCACGAAGAGCCACATACAGTTTAGCCCTTTGAACGCGTACAAAACCCATTGCACGGAAATACGTAAAAGTAGGTCAAATGAGATTTGCGTTTTCAGGAAGAGCCACATAATTATCTTTGTTACATTTTCAGCTGCGCGCGCGTACTCATGCGCGCCTATGGAAATACACGTTAAACAGAAAGGGCCAATATGTCTGAAACCTGAATTTGCGTTTCACGAAGAGTCACATATCTTTACTTATTAATTTTCACTAATTAACTGCTGTATTAAGTCTTATTACCGGGTTCATGTAAAACTTCAGCTCTCGTAGAATCGTGTGATGGTTTCCTTGCTGCACAAAGTTGTTGCAAAGTAGTATTTCTTGCAGGTTTAAAATATGAGAAACTTCTTTTGCGATTATCTCGAAAACAGTTTTCTTCAAAATCAACATAATATATATAGTATGTGGCTGTTCGTGAAAACGGTGACGACTTAATTTGTGAAATAAGCTCAAATTACAGGCAATACGAACGAGCAAAGAGAATGTATCAAGAAAGGCGAACTAAATGCGTAATAATAAAACTGGCAATATCTGACCGGAATGTACATTAACAAATTTCGACGACAAAAAATAAATCCCTAATTACCAGGAGGCGCCCTTTCCAACATCTCCACCACCCCCTTGTTTTCTAAACTGCCAGTTTAATTTTCCCGCTTCGGATACTTGGGTGTCGTTGTCAGGGGGATTGTAGAATGCCACTACGATGACCTTTCCCTCCTTGGTGATCGCTTTGCCTATGCCGAACTCCTCGGTGTCTTTCCAGACTAGCTAGGTGAAGTGACCTTGAAAAAGACCAAAGAATCCATAAGTTGGATATTCTTACATTAAAGGGCCATGCAATGTAATGTTTTCATGCTATCCTTGAAAATAGAACTGGGTCACGGCAATACCGATACCGTGGCCAGCCCGATCCCGATCCTTCTTGTCGTAGAACCTATGCTCCTGTTACATTGTTTAAACGGCTCATACAAACCATTATATTGTTCAGCTAAAAAAACGAGCTACAAAAGAACAACCTTGTTGTTGCAATCAGGACGCAAAGCCATCATCGTGCCTCACCCCTTAAAGCCCTTCTATAGACACACCCACACACAGGTTTGTTATGCTGTAAATTAAGGATTTTCTATTGTTCCTCTTCATCGATCTTTTTTAAACTCTTTCTTTTTGTTTGCAACAGCTCTCACTGGTTTTGTACATGTTTTCTAATTTAGGTCGTCCTCGATTTGACTCCTGTCCTCAATTACTCGATGATGCTTGACATGTGTGTCCTCGATGTACGCCATAGACAAATCCACCTATATAGTTGTAGGCACATACACTCGTGTATACGAGGTATTTGAGGGGATCGAAAACGTTATGAGAACAGCAGAAAGTCCGCATTACTCGGTCCTAATTTGCCTAACAATACAAAAACTTCCCACATCCACTATCCACACCCACACACATAGTCTCACCTTACATACATACCGTAGACATTCCTTTGTATTTGTGTTGTTAAAAAAAACGGAGAAAAACTCATTTTGCTCTCACTGTGAACATTCTTTCAGCCCAATGTGTAATGTTTTACTTGGGTGTTCCTCTTCATTTTGCGACGGATAAACTTACCCCACGCCTCTTAACCTCTTTTCCCGGAGAGGGGGGAACCCAGTGTGGACATGGGCAAGTCCACAAAGCGTTCAAGCTTCCTGCATCCTGTGTACCTCTTTTGTTCACTAGGTCCACAAAAAGTTCGGAAGGTTAGAGCACATGCACTGACTTGTTCCGTAGTTGTCCCATGGTAGAATGGGAACCAATGATGATGTAGGGACGGCAGAAAGTCTCCATAACTCGATAGGTTCAAATTTGCCTAACAATACAAAACGTCCCAATAACGCTTTGTCGGCACGCCAACCAATTGGTTCTGTACACGTTTTCTGATCGAGTTCTTTTTCGATTTGACTTTCGGTCCTCAATTTCTCAATGATGCTTCACACGTGTGCCCTCGATTTACACCATAAACATGCACTCACATGTACATGTGTTATCCTATATGAGCACCTTCTATTGTTTCCTTCATTTGTTCCTTTTGTTTGCACTCAAAACATGTTCTCAACATCTCCCATAAGGTTTGTAAATGAAAACCCCAGAGGATTTGTCTAAGGTCCTCGGGGTTATTGTTATCGCAAATCCCACATTGTCCCGATTCCTCAGTGGTTAATGGTAAAAAGATCACATCTTTACATATATTATGGGTGGTTATATGGGGTACCATTGTTTCAACCTTTATTCCCAAACTGTACTTTTCCTTAATTGTTTCTAGTGAAATTGCAAATTTTCTATAGTGTTTTGCTTGGCAGGTAGGACCTACAGAGATCTCTGACCAAGTTATGAGGTCCCATTGTGCATTTTGTTGCACAAATGTGTTCCCGGTAGGCGGTACATATATATCAACACATACTTTTGTGTATGGCTCTGGACATCAGTGATGTAGCAATGTTTAATTCTGAAGACGGCGACACAACAAGAACTTTATTTTTCCCCACTGCTATAGCCTAATTGATCCTTTGTACTGTAGAAAAAAAATAGGTCAGCCATTTGCTTTGATTTCTACGTACACCCTTAAAAATCTCGAGATAGATCCGACCCGGATTCAGGTCAGATTCGATCGATCAAATTGTCAAAATAAAACTTCTATTGTTTCCGAACCATCTGTCCCGAAAAAAACGTCATTTTGACCCCCAAAAGATTTCATATTTACTCCAAGATTTGTCATTTTGATCCAGAAAAGTGTCAGGTCAAATCAGATCAAGATTCAGACTCGAATTTGACCCGTGACTGTTATGAGAGTAATAGCTTTGTAATCTTCACGGTAACTATGCGAATGAGGTTTCTGTTTTGGCAAGTGCTTCCTCGATTTGGTTCCAGTATCGCGATTCCATACAACTATACGGATCTGATAAATCCATGGAGCGAGCTATAGTTTCTCGCGCAATACTGACCGAAATATCTAAACACCGATCTTTGGTATTTCCTCTGATCACAACTACATCCATCAACGACCTAAGCTATGCTGAACCACAACACCCCATAGAAGAATCCTGAATCCCCACCGTCAGCTACTTACCCTATCCCCCGACCTTTTAGAAGTGTCACCTTGTCCACTACCCGCTTTGTGGAGGGAAGATATTCTCCTGGAACGCTTGCATCTTGTTCCCGGCCGGTTGGTAATTGGCCACAACGTAAACCTTGCCGCTTTTGGCCACCGCTTTGCCGATACCAATTTCCTTGGAGTCTTTCCAGACAACTTGAGAGAAATGACCTGAAACGTTATGTTTAAAAAAAGTCAGTGTAGTCTTCATGATGGTCTTACTGCACGGCGGGATAAAATGGGATACATATGTTACTGTGCGGAGCCGAAGTTTCGAAAATCTCGACAAATACCTCGCCTGCAACACTTCCCTCTATTTTTGAAAACTGTTTTGAAACCACCGTCAGTGTTTACTTTCTTCCAAACGATACTATTCCAGACGGAGTAATTTCACAGCGGTATTTGAAAACCAGTCCTTCTTCACTTTGAGTAAGGTTACTGTCATTTAATCGGTCGGTACATTCAAGGTTTTATGTCAATACATGTACAGGGTGAGTCGGAATGATCTGGACCAAAGCTCACATTTTTTGTGTGGCAAATAAGAGTATATTGAGAAAAAACTTTGTATTCATATGAATGGTTATTACCTTGTATTCCACAGGAATTTTGAATTTTTCAAATTAGTGGCTGTGGTGAAGCGTTATGCCATTTTCATTGAAGTGGCTCATTTTCCAGTCTGCACACGAATTGGTTTTGCCTTTTTAAAATATATTAATAATCATTTGGGAGGCTAATCATCCTTACTCGCAGCTGGTATGCTGAATTGCGAAGGACGCGGCTACAACGTGGTCGGGCCGCTGGCTGCCGGCCACATCGACCCATTATGACCATGGAACACAGCCTGAGATCGAAAGTGTTTGATTTTTCCGGAGGGAGGAAAACCGGAGGGCCCGGAGAAAAACCCTCGTGGCACAGGAGAGAACCAACGCACAACTCTATTCACATGCGATCCGCGGCCAGGATTCGAACCGTGGTCACCTTGGTGAGAGGCGAGCGCTTTACGCACAAGCCACCCATGCCACCCAAAATTTGTCAATAACTTCAAGTGAGTCAGTCACCATGACTAGGTTTTTATTTGTTATTTACACTGCGTCATCATACGCGATTTCAATACATTTTTGTTTTACCATGGAACCGTGGTCAGAGTGGGGTTTTTTGCGTATGTTCTTTGCTGGCGCTTTTCTTAACAATGGTACAGTGGACAGGGGTCTTCCCGATGTTCCCCAATACCTATGTTCCCCAATACCGATGTCCCAAGAAATCCTTAGGATTAGGGTCAGGGTTAGGGTTAGGGTTATAGGGTAAGAATTCGGGGAACATCGGTATTAGGGAACATAGGTATTGGGGAACATAGGTACGCACCCTAATGGATTTACATGACACTTTCACCAAATATGTGCAAAATACCAGCCTGTACCATATCTCATTCGCACTTGTTTTGAAAATTGCTACATATTTTTTGACATTTTCTTTGATTTGGGTCCGGATCAATCTGACTCGCCCTGTGTATAAAGTACTGTCGAGTGCTTACCTGTACCCAACTGAAACCCGGTATCGCCAAAGTTGTAATTTTTGATTTCGGAATACCATTGGTCAGTCGCCTGCTGGCCTGGCCAATCAAAAAGGAGAAACCAGAAAAATCATATATCGAGAAACATTGTAGCCTAAGGGATTCCCTATACAGTGGGACACCTTTATATCAAGGTCCTTGGGACTTTACAAATTACAAATTACCTTGTTATAACAAATAATTATCAGTAATGGAAAACAACGAAAAACAAAGGCTTGGGACCTAACATTGTTCTTGTTATAAGCAGGATGTTGTATTAACAGTGCTAGCTCTTCTTATCAGGGTTAGACTGAGAGTATAATATATTGATGTTCTAAGGTCAAAAAAAAGTCTCCGGTTTCTGGTATGGAGCTTGCCCAAAAAGTCGTGCGGCGACGCGGCTTTTTTTTTTTTAGCTGTTTTTTTTTGCTTCAAATGTCGGCTGAGGACTGCAATTGGTGCCCGACTAAACTTAGTGAAAACATATGGGAGTCCAGAGAGGCCACATAAAGCGTATTCTCGATCACAACCCCATCTAAAAACACGTTAATATTGTACAGCAGCAGGATTCCAGCCAAACCAGTGAGTTTGGCAGTTTTGAGACATCATCTTTTATTGAAAAAAAAAGAACTTTTTTAGTTTGCCGACGCGCATGGCTACGGCGACGCGCGCGCATACCAGAAACCGGAGACTTATTTTTTTGGCCTAATGCAGGGTCATTGAAAGTACAAGATGATTAGGTCATGTCCTTTAAAGCTGGTCCCCGAGTACACATATTCCTTGCAGTTGATTCTGAGAGGATATTCACTGAGGTATATTCATGCATCTGATGTATACAGTGGGTTTAGCCTATTACGGGGTATCCTACACAATAGCACTGCTCGGATTTCTGCATCCGTCAACCAGGCTGCCTCAAGTCACAGTGAGTCAGTGGGTAAGTCAGTCTTCAGTCATTCAGTCACTTAGTCAGATATGGATACACAGAGGACTGTGAAACTGGCCCTGTGTGACCAGCAAAAACTGAATGGTGTCAACGACAGGTGCTTTTCACCATGCTTAATAACGGGGACATTGGTTATCCCCCTCTTACATTTGCATAGACCCATTGATGAAAGAAAGTGCATTGCAAAGATTCAAGTACTAACATTCAATTACAAAAATATTAGGGTCGAGCAAATTTCTAGCCCCAAAGTGAACACGTCTCACAAGTCAGCACGAATTATATTTTACAAACTGTTACCTGTAATCTCTGTTGCGCTGAAACGCCAGACCATATTCTCTCCAAACTCCTTGTTGTTGCTGTGCTTGAACGTATCTGTGCTGGCCAGGTGCTCGGCCCATGATTGCGCAAGATTGCAGAGGTAACTGCTCAACTTCAGTGCTCCAACGTCATGTTTTGCTCGGTATCTGTGAACCAGAGTCACCATGATTAATACATGTACAGTATATGTAAACTTAATAGTGAAGAAAAATAATGTAATCAAGCAATCTTGATTCAGGTGGTACGGCAAAAAACAAACAGTGTTTTGGACGTCACCTTAACTTAAACCAATCAAGGCATCACATCTATCACTGATGCCCCCTTCATCAATGGAGAACGCAATTTAGCATAGGTATCGTTCAGAGAATCCGCCGCGAGGAAGTTGCTTTGTACAATAGCGCAAGCGTGCACAATATGATGTCTTCACAGCCTCGTCCCCTGTGTGTCGAGCAGTACGTGCCCAACACTACCTGCTCTCTCACCCTGGCATTGGATCATTTGCATGTGCAAAAATGTTTGAACACGTATGCAAATGAGGAATAGCCTGGTGCCTTCCAGTGCGTTACATTATCTTTTGTTTTTGTATGCGGTGTCTGGGTAAAAACAGAATCAATTCGTCGCGCCGTGATGAAACACGATTGTTTTCGAAGTTACAATGTTACAATCTTATCCCGGCTATATGTATCACATTTCATATTTATATGAGCAAATTGGAAAGGAAAGGAGTATTTGTGAGCAGTCGTGGACGTTATAACAACAATGATTGTGAAAACAAGTAATGCACGTTGGAAATAACAACACCAAGTACACGATATAAATCCATTACTAGTCAATTGCAGCATCGAAGCAGGATACAGGAAGAAAGCTTCCTATCAAGGGCTTACTATACATTGTATATAATGGCAACGAGGTTGGAAATAAAGTAAGCACTGGGGACGAGGTTGGTGTCTTCATTGAAGGTTACAGACCAGTAAATAAACTTCCATAGGCCCCAATGGTAAATGTTCCCACTTCAGAAATTCGGGAAAAACATCACAACTTTCCAAAGTGTCTCCAAGTCGCAAATATTGACGCCAATATTGACGCCAGTATTCACGACATGTCCTCCATGTCGCAAATATAGACGCCAATATTGACGCCAATATTTATGACATGGCCCCAAGTCGCAAATATTGACGCCAATATTCACGACATGGCCCAAGTCGCAAACCCACTCAGGCGTGAATGTTCTTTTTTTTTTAGCAACCTAGGTAGGCAATTCAAGCAAATAATCTGGCGCACCCTACTATACAATACACACTTTTCAATATTGTGTTTGTGTTAGCGCGTACTTCCTTCGCTGCAAGGATACAGACGTCCAATAAGTGTGACCGTAAGGTCAGAGCCAAATTCTGCTAAATGCACATACAAAATCTGTCCGATTTATCAAAAATCCCCCCGAATTACTCGAAATACATTATAAACACTTAAAATCACATGTAGATTGGTAGTATTACCTTAATTAAAGTTCAAATCACATAATAAACAATCTATAGTCACATAAAGATGTTATGAAATTATCCCGTAAATTTCGGGTAAAACGCTAATTCGGCCACGACGACGTTTCCCAGTGAACTTCAGCACCTAGACCCAGAGTTGTAACGAGTCACTGATTTTTGTGACTCGAGTCGAGTCGAGTCGAGTAATTTTAAAGAAGTGACTCGAGTCGAGTCGAGTCATTTTAAGGAAGTGACTCGAATCGAGTCGAGTCATTAGGTCAAAAGGTCGAGTCGAGGCAAATATTTAGCTCGAGTCAATTAGAGTCACGATTATTTGAACACTATGTATACCAACATTTATAAAAGGAGGTCATAACTTAAGCGAGCGTTATAATCCAAACGCTTTTTAAGAAATCGCCCAAAACCAATGATGAAACAGCGAATTCGAAAATGTGTTTAAAAATCTGGTTCCTGGATATTATTTTGCGCGTGATCTCGAACCATGAGGTGGGAGTCTGTGACACTTGTATAGTTGTACATGACTGCTATTCGCAAAGTAAAGTGAGCATACATTTTGCACCGTAAGTCATTGCAAATACATTTCGCAAAGTTGCGCTTTTTATTTTTGGGACTCGATCGAGTCTTATTAGCCTTCGCTCGAGTCGAGTCGAGTCTTCTGATGAGGGACTCGAGTCGAGTCGAGTACATAAACAAATATTTACCATTTTTTTTAATTTTGCTGTTTTTCTAATCAAATCTAATTTACAACCATTTTTGCAGAATTCTGCCAGAAATCTGCCAAAAAAAATCCATTATGTCAAATATCCTGTGAAACTCTCGTTTTGTAAACAAAAAATTCTGTCAAAGTTAGCCGAAAATCGGCTAAAACGGTCACCCTGCGTCCAATGTACATGCACATTCATGGCTCGCGCTGCGCCTCACGACGAACGTTCAGTCAGAGATCGGTGTGTCTGGGTGCCAGACTGTGTGGGTAACGGACACCCCAAGTTGCTGTGAAAAAAATTCACGCATGAGTGGGTTTACAACTTGGGCCTGTCGTGAATATTGGTGTCAATATTGGCGTAAATATTTGCGACATGGAGGCCATGTCGTGAATATTGGCGTCAATATTGGCGTCAATATTTGCGACATTGAGACCATGTCGTGAATATTGGCGTCAATATTGGCGTCAATATTTGCGACTTGGGTCCATGTCGTGAATATTGGCGTCAATATTGGCGCAAATATTTGCCACATGGAGGCCATGTCGTGAATATTGGCGTCAATATTGGCGTCAATATATTATGTGCGATGTCCCTTTAGAGCCACCATAGTGAGGCCACACAGGATCGCTGCAAGCATTACGCTGTGCACGGATTGGAATGGATTGGTTGGGAAAGAAGTAAACTACGCAATTTGCGGGAACGCAACAATATGAAAAAAAATGATAGAGAGATAGTTTCAGAAATCTTCATTTGTAAACGTTGGCATTACAGCAAGCACAGCTAGATTTTATTGCTCAGAGAATATTCTTTCAAACATTCAAATTCAAACTCGATGGCCAAAATGTAAACTAAAGATGCCCATCAGAGAACATTCCAAAGTAAAAACTAGAGCTTCGCGTTTGTTGAGTTACAAACACAGAGTGGTCAGGCGGACCGCCTGTTCAGTAAACACTGACCAGTTACATATGTTTATGTTGAACAAAGGATTACGAAATTAAATCCTTTCCAGTGAAACAGTAAACATTCTTTGTGCGCTTAAAAAGTTATTTGTGGTTTGATGACGTCATCAATATAAAACGGTATGTAAATACTAATAAAGTTTGTAGAGGATAAAGTTTCATTGTGAAGTTAAAATAACGTAACTTCCGGTTTGATGACGTATTAATAACACCTAATTTACCGTTTAATGACGTCGCAGCATTAGAGATCCAAAGGAGAACACTGTAATGGATATCATTATTTGGACTACGAAGATATGACAGGGATCAAGTGATAGAATTAGATTGAAATATGATACCTTTCAAATTCTCATAGAAGTAACTTGCGGTTTGATGACGTCATATGAATTTAAAACCTTGCCAAGTTATCTTTGGTTACCAGAGAATATCAAGGGGCGATTTGGTAATATGTGGACGGATCAGTGATGTAGTGCCTCGATGCTGGGCCTTGGCAAGGCTGCCTTAAGGCTGGATTTTAGGGCCTTGGCCTTGGCCTCGAGGCTTGAGGGCAAAAGCCTTGGCCTTGGCCTTGGCCTTGAGGGTTCAGGGCCTTGCAATTTTGAGTCAAGGCTCTTCAAGGCCCATAGATTTTTGCATCCGACGGATGGTTTTAAAATTAAAGAAAGCAAACGCTGTATTATGTGCCGCTATGGGGCGCCCTTTCAGATGATAACGCCATCACACTGTCTTTGTGTCTTGTATTCCTCATATAACATTTTCATAATTTATATGTATGTAGTAAAATACTACCGTGTTTAAGTTATATTCGGTTTTCATTGCACTTCCGGTAGCACCGAAAGTGAAGGTAAAGCGGATTTGTGTCCGGGGACAAGAAATGTTTGACACGGCATAGTCTACAACCTCACGAAAAACGAACACGATACTCTTTTTAGTTCAAAAGATATAGCGCAAACTATTTTGTCAAAATTTGCCCTGAAATCGCTTGTAATTTGAGACCTGATGACGTCATGATGACGTCATGATGACGTTACAAAGATTATGACATCTTCGTTACATGGTACAAGTTCACACTAGGTTTTATGATCATAGCGCTCAGCGTTTAGATAAAATTTTGCTTTGTTTTGATTTCAGGCTAAAGTTTTTTTTTTTAAAACACGTAACTTTGACCTTCCGGTAGACCTGGAAGTAAAGGTCAAGTAAAGGTACAATTATTTATCAACTAATGGTCTATCTGATTACAAAGTTGGAACATACTTGATTATTTTGTTTAAGAGTTATAGGCGAAAGTAATTGGCCACTTATTCCTCTAAAATCGCTTGTAATTTGACCCTCGATGACGTCATCATGACGTCAGAGTAATATGCACTACTAGCGATGAGGTTCCATATAATTACAAGTTCATACCATATACCGTTTAGGAGAAAACCCGCGGAGAAGTATTGTCCGGAATAAAAAGAAAGAAAGAAAGAAAGAACTAGAGGTTCGCGTTTGTTGTTACAAACGCAGAGTGGTCGGGCAGGCATTTTTTTCCCCAGTAAACACTGCCGTGTTAAATTATGAATATTTGAACAAAGGATCACGAAATTAAATCCTTTCCAGTACAATCAATTATTTGGTGGTAGAATTCAGTAAATATTACACAAGTAATTTCTGGCGTCATTATTCGAAAATGGGATGTGAATACTGATTTGAGTGGATAAAAGTAACTTCCGGTCTGATGACGTCATAACTTTGAAACCTTGCCAAGTTATTTGTGGTTAATCAAAGAATATCAAGGAACGATTGGTAAAATTTGAACGGATGGTTTTCAAATAAGAAAGATAAAACACTGTTTTATGTGCCACTAGGGGGCGCCCTTTCGAAAGATGACGTCATTACACATTTTTGTCTGGCATTCCTCACTAAACACTATCATAATGTATATGTGTGTAGTAAAATGCTTCCGCTTTTGATTTGAATTGCATTCGGTTTTCATTGCACTTCGGGTAATACCGAAAGTGAAGGTCAAGCGGTTTTGTGTCCGGGGACAAGAAATGTTTCTCACGGCATAGTCTTCAACCTCACGAAATAACGAACACGATGCTCTATTTAGTTTAGAAGATATAGCGCAAACTATTTTGTAAGAATTTGCTCTTAAATCGTTTGTAATTTGATACCTGATGACGTCATGATGACGTAACAAAAGTAATAACATCTTCGCATTATGTTACAAGTTCACATTAGGTTTCTGGATCATACCGTAAAACGTTTGGAAGAATTTCTGCTTTGTTTTGATTTCAGGCTAAAGTGTTCATTTTAAATTCACCTAACGTTTACCTTCCGGTAGACCCGGAAGTAAGGGTCAAGCGAGTTCACGTACACGACAAAAAAAATGTTTATCAATTCATGGTCTGTCCGATTACAGAATACAAACACTATTGATTATTTTGTGCAAGAGTTATAGGTGAAAGTAATTGGTCACCTTTTCAGCTAATATCGCTTGTAATTTAACACCCGATGACGTCATCATGACGTCAGAGTAATATGCACCACTAGGCATGAGGGTCGATATATAGTGAAAGTTACAAGTTCATATCATGAACCGTTTAGGAGAAAAGCCGCGGAGAAGTATTGTCCCGAAAAAGAAGAAGAAGATTTATTAGCACAATAACAGAGAGTGGTCGGGTTGTGCCCGACCACTGAAAGAAGATTTATGAGAACAGTTCCAGATAGTGGTCGGGTTGTGCCCGGCCACTCAAAAAAAGAAGAAAACATTGTTATAACAGGTGAAGAAACGGTTTGGTATACCTGTTGTGTGCCAACAGCATGTCTTCCCGGAATGTGGATAGCTCTTGCTTTGTGCTGGGAATTCCAGGCTTGCTACCATACTTCACGTTTCCTGCAAAAACAAAAGACTCGATTCCTAAAATAAATCCGACACAAAAAATACTGTGAACAATTACCCCCCCCCCCCCCCAAAAAAAGTCGGGAGTTACCAAAATCACTTTTGAGTTGACTAGGCTTACATGACTTGGCAAAAAAAACATCAGGTTAGGAACACCTCTTTCTTCTTTCCTGCACAATAATATGAAGGCGTCCAAAAACGGCAACATTTCACAAAAAATGCAAATGAGGTATGAATTATCAATTATTTATGTAATTCTTTTAATTTGGCTTTAATGCAATACTGTGACGGAAAGTGTAGTTTTTATGCACATGTTCATGTTATTGTATTCTAATCTTATTAATGAACTGTAGTATAGTACGCCCATGACTAGGCGTGGCTTAGCAATCAGTATGTGCGTGTATGCAGGCACGCGATTGGTCAACAAAGCCCCATATGTTTAGTGCATCATAATGGTTTAGTGCATGTGCTATGGATGCGCATAGGTAGATTGCTACGTACGTACGCGCGAAGTTTTCTGGCAAGTGGCCGCGAGCTGTACGAACGTGAGTTGAGGGTGCTCTCGCTGTGGCGTGTATTGCTACAGGGTGATTTGAGCTATATGCTACGCGCGGGCGAACTGTTGGACAGATTAGCCGTTCTTGGCGGGTGCATTGTGGTTGATTGGGGCTGGGCCCATAGTTTCGTAGTGCTACGTGCGCGCGAACAATATCTCCACAGTGGCACTGAGCTATGCAATGCGATATTGTTTAGGCAGTGCAGCATTGGTTGTTGCATTGCTGTAGTGTTCATATATTGCAACATTGGTCTGTGCATTGCTATAGCGTTCATGTATTGCAGCACTGGTTGTGCATTGTTGTTGTGTCCGTGTATTGCAGCATTGGCCTGTGCATGGCTATAGTGTTCCTGTAATGCAGCATTAGTTTGTGCAGTGATTATTGGAGTGAGCCGTGCGATATTAGTGGTGTATTGCAAATAGGGCTCTTATTCGAAAACCACAGGTTGTAATAAATTTATTGTTGTCTCTGAAATAAATCATCTTGAGATTACCGACCGTTCAGTTGCCAGTTGTCCTTGTTATTGTGTTATTGCCTAATTAACAGAAGGTATAGGGATCAATTTCTGCGGCAGTAGATTTCCACCCAATGAAACCTTGTCGCCCCCCAGTCGCCCCCCCCCCCCACTGAGATTTTGAGTTCTAAAAAAATTATCATTGATCTACATGACGCCCCCCATGAAATGTTCCAGCCCCCCCCCCCAGCGGCCCCCCCCCCATCCCCCACTGCAAAATTCCTGGCTACGCCACTGCTGGACAGCCTTGCATGCTCGTAATGACTGTCTTGGGCTTACATTATGCCGACGTATTGCGTGTGCATGCTTCAAGTCTGTGAAACTATAGTAACTTTCAGATGAACAATAAATATGACGGCCTTCTTCATTTTACCACTTCTTTTTCATTATAAAAGAACTGTTAGTCTCGTCTCCTCTGACATCAAAGCTTCACTGGACAAGTCCGCGCCACCCAACGCCAGAATATGCTCATCAGTAGACAATATTAATCGAAAGTTTCCGCAAAAAAAACAGCTTTTGAAAAAGAGCCCGATGTCGAACTTTACTGAGTCTAGCTGAGGTCTATCGAGGGAACGATTCTTATTTCAACGCCCGAAGATTCGCTGACAGTCTCTATTTTTCTTTTTAAGAAAGTCAAAGTAGCTGAAGAGGGAGGTGAGAATCTATAAGTGCCCAGATACAAAAAGTAGAAATCTACGCGTCTGCCTTATGCAATACCCAATTGCAGTGTTCATTGTTGCGTAATGATCCGCCGAGCACACGACTGTTTTGCACATTCGGCTGTGTTATGCAGCTTCCTAACAAACCAAACACACTGGGCTTATTATTCCTCAAATATCGACTTGTTTTCGCCCATGGAGCTAAAGAAAATGGACCAAGTAATCTTCCTGGCGCGTTTGCTCACTATAAAGACAACTTTTCTCAGTTTAAGGAAAATGCTAAGGTAACGAAATGGCCGAGTGGTTACGATTCGTCGTCCACGGTTAGCGGGGTCCCGGGTTCGAGTCTCGCTGGTGTCTTTTTTGGTTTTTAACGTATAAGTTCAATCATTTACTATAAGAGATTTAATTTCCCGTCGTAAAATACCAACAGTACTTAGCTTAATCGGTAAGCACTGCTGCTGGTACTGTCCATGAGTTCCAGGTTGGCGTCTTCGTACAGGTTCAGGGCATGTGGTCCACTCAGAGGATCAGGGCTTAGGGTGCCGCCCTGTTCCTCCCTTAGCTCTTTGCTTTTACATGGCGCCTGGCCCTCCGGGGTTATATGGATGGATAGGGAAGGAAGTGTGTATTGGTCGGGGACGCCGAGACCCCGGAAGAGAACTAAGGGATTGGCTGGGGCTCAGACCGATCCCTGAAAGCTTGACTAGCACATAACTTTTTGATTTTTTCCCTCTATCTTTTATACTGGTTTAGTTTGATGTCTTTAGCTGCTCGGCAGGTCTACAGCCAGTATTAAAATTGCAACAAAGGTGTATGTCATAAATCAATGAATATTTGATAATTGACTATAATCAAAACGGAGTTTCGTTTGATCAATTTGACGATTGCCAATTGACGTAAGAAACCCATAAATTGTACCGGGAAAAATAAAGATGTACATTGTAATATAAATTTTATTTATACAACTTTCAGATAAAATTTCTTTAATTATAAGCATTCCAAACAATACAGTAATTCGCAATAGTAAGAGGTTGGTATATGATACCACGAACATTGTATCTCTATTAAATTAGAAAATATAATGTAGGCCCCTATGTGTGAAATATTATTTGAATTGACTATGAGCATTCCATACGAATAAGTTAATTCGCGAAAATAGCAACAACAGAAGAGAAAAGAAAAAGAGAAAATTATTTAACCCTTAAAACTGGAAATATAATTTGTTTTAATTAAATGGGACACTTCATGGATTGATTTAACAGTTTGCAAGGAGTTAACCTTACATTTTTAGCAAATTGGGAAAAATCAGATGTTTCTGGAAAATTGCAGATTGTATGGGGCTAGATGTTTATGAAACATGTCAAATTGTAAGGGGTGAACCTTGCATATTTTAGCGAAATTGGGCAAAATCAGATCTTTCTTGAAAATTTCAGATTGTAAGGGGTTAACCTTGGTTTTTTAGTGAAATTTGGCAAAATATGATGTGTATGAAAATTTTTAGATTGTAAGGGGTTAACCTTGCTTTTTTAAGTGAAATGTGGCAAAATAAGATGTGTATGAAAAATTTCAAATTGTAAGGGGTTAACCTTGCTTTTTTAGTAAAATTAGGGCAAAATCAGATGTTTCTGGAAAATTGCAGATTGAAAGGGGTTAACCTGGCATATTTTAGCGAAATTGGGCAAAATCAGATGTTTCTGGAGAATTACAGATTGAAAGTGGTTAACCTTGCATATTTTAGCGAAACTGGGTAAAATCAGATCTTTCTGGAAAATTTCAGATTGTAAGGGGTTAACCTTGCTGTTTTAGTAATATTTGGCAAAATAAGATGTGTATAAAACATTTCAAATGTTAAGGGGTTAACCTTTTTCTTAGTAAAATTGGGCAAATTTAAATGATTATGAAAAATTTCAAATTGTAAGAGGTGAACCTTGCATATTTTAGCGAAATTTGGCAAAATCAGATTTGTATGAAAAATCAAAAATTGTATAAGGGGCAAATTAGGGCAAAATCAGATGTTTCTGGAAAATTGCATAGGGAAAGGGTTTAATCTTGCAAATTTTAGCGAAACTGGGCAAAATCAGATCTTTCTGGAAAATTTCAGATTGTAAGGGGTTACCTTGCTTTTTTAGTGAAATTTGGCAAAATAAGATGTTTATGAACAATTTCAAATTGTAAGGGGTTAACCTTGCTTTTTTAGTAAAATTGGGCAAATTTAAATGTTTATGAAAAATTTCAAATTGTAAGGGGTGAACCTTGCATATTTTAGCGAAATTGAGCAAAATCAGATCTTTCTGGAAAATTGCATAGGAAAAGGGGTTAATCTTGCATATTTTAGCGAAACTGGGTAAAATCAGATCTTTCTGGAAAATTTCAAATTGTAAGGGGTTAACCTTGCTTTTTTTTAAGTAAATTTGGGCAAATTTAAATTATTATCAACAATTTCAAATTGTCAGGGGTTAACCTTGCATTTTTGTTTTGCAAAATGAGGTGTATATGAAAAATTTCAGACTGAAAAGGGGTTAACCTTGCATTTTTAGCAAAATTTGGCAAAATGAGATTTTTATGAAAATTTTTAAATAGTAAGGGGTGAACCTTGCTTTTTTTTTTGGTATAATTGGGCAAATTCCAATGTTTATGAAAACTTTCAAATTGTAAAGGGTTAACCTTGCATTTTTGTTTAGCAAAATAGGGCAAAATCAGATGTTTATGAAAAATTTCAGATTGAAAAGGGGTTAACCTTGCATTTTTAGCAAAACTGGGCGATATCAGATTTTTATGAAAAATCTCAAATTGTAAGTGGTGAACCTTGCTTTTTAAGTGAAATGTGGCAAAATAAGATGTGTATGAAAGATTTCAAATTGTAAGGGGTTAACCTTGCTTTTTCAGTTAATTTGGGCAAATTTTAAATTATTATCAAAAATTTCAAATTGTCAGGGGTTAACCTTGCATTTTTGTTTAGCAAAATAGGGCAAAATCAGGTGTTTATGAAAAATTTCAGATTGAAAAGGGGTTAACCTTGCATTTTTTGCAAAACTGGGCAATATCAGATTTTTATGAAAAATTTCAAATTGTAAGGGGTTAACCTTGCTTTTTTTTAAAGTAAAATTGGGCAAATTCTAATGTTTATAAAAACTTAGAGGCCATTCAGAATGTTTAATGTTTAAAAATGTCGATATTTTTTCCAAATTGTTGGTGGGTGGGTCAAGCTAAATAATTGAAAATCGAAATTCATTTTCCATGGAAAAAGATAAAAAAAAGAAA